ACCTTTCTCACACCCTCTGTTGGGGGTGTATCTGTGTCCATCCTTCAAGCTCGGGGTCTTACCAGAGCCTGGGAGGTTTGAGGGGGTTCTTCGCAGGTATCTTAGTGGTTTTCCCTAGACTGTGATTCCTTCTGGGACTGAGCTTTCTTGATCGTTGTCCTGGGGATCTGTTGGAGCCAACTCCCCCCAGTTGGGGTCCCCCACTGCCCGATGGCTCTACTACCCAAGGGGATTGACCCGCTTGCCTATTGACTTTCCACATCTTGCTCAAGCGTTCTTTCAAAACCTTTGGTTACTTTTCCAAACCTTTCGTGGTTCCTTCTTGCTGATGGTTGCGGTCTGCTGGGTATGGGCCACATCTATTCACCCACCGCGTTTCTTCTGCTCCTTGGTTCTACCACCCCCACTAGGTTCTGTTTGTTGGCCAGACTGTTTTTTCAGTCTGTGGAAGCTGAAGAGGTCCCCAACATCCGCTTTGGCCTCCTGTTTGTGTCTCGTCCACCTTTCCTTTTGTGGGTTTGCTGCCCATGGGGAATTTTTGGATGGTACCTCTATTCCACATTTTAACTGTGGGTACCAGGATGTTCCTTCTGTTACACTATTCCAGGCCACTCTTGGTTGTGTCTCTCCAATTGTAGCGCTGAACCGGCTTAGTATATTTACACCTCTGTGCTTATGATATTGTGCTCTTGGGACTGTCTTCAGGGGGCATAAGGCTTTATGCTCATAGTCTGGCCACCTTGGGTCAGATCTTTACTTGCTTGTAGTATCTTGGCCTCTATGTTGCTGTTCTGCTACTGAGTGCTCTGTTCTTGTGCTGCCATGATCGAGTGCCTCTTTGTGGCTTTGTATCTATATTATATTATTATTATTATTATTATTATTATGTATATGTTATTATTTGGAAATAATGTCAGAAGACTTTTAGATCGAATATATTAACAATTTGTTTGGTTCTTTATGCGCCATGTCCTTTAGAGTATTTAAGGGGCTTTTCTATAGGGTGTGGCATATTTTGATCATGCAGCCATATTCATATTCTTGCCAAGAATTTTATTCTCGCGATAGAGGTTTTGCGCTCTGCCATCTTTTTATGCTTGGTGTATGTTTATTCAGAATCCATGAGGGTCTGGGGTCTGGCCCTCCTTACAGTTATTGAAGTCTCCACCCATCCTACGGCCCGCGCACGGACCCCAATTTCTGTGGAGCAGGCCCTCAGCTGTCATATGCTAAGTGATGTGGAAACCCCCCTTTTTATAGCTTCCAAATTAACAATATTAAAATATCCAGCAACCTTTCAGGAAAGATACTGTTGAACATACATACAGCCATGATTATAAATACATAAAATGACGGAGACACCACTTTGGGGAAACTTTATTTGAATTTTATTTTGGTCCACAATCTGCCCTAACATGACTTATGACCTGTACTTGCGTCAGCAACCAGCCGATCCGAGATGGTCGTCCCATCCTTGGGCGGTGGTATGCTTATATCGGCGGGGCGCGCGCCGTGTGGGGGGGCCCGTGGGTGTCGGAGCGAGTCCTCACTGAAACGCCTGTGGGGGGTACCCCCTCTGTTTCTGCTGGGGCCCTGCCTCCGTTGGTCGGCCGCTGCGGTGGCGCTTGTGGGTGAAAAGATACGTTTGTCAGCGTGAAAGACCGCGGGCTAACGTTTTTGTTTTTTTTTGTTTCGACGGGGCGGGAACGGAGCGGAGAATAAGAAGATGGACGATGAAGAAGGTGGTCGGGTCGCACGTCCCGCGCGCCCCCGCCCGTGGCTGGATTGCAGTTGACAGGTTCCATAAAAAGCCCCTCCATGTTAGCGCGAGTGGGATGGACAAACTAAAAATGTTCAAATAAAAATGTTTTTTCCCCAAAGATGCGGCGGTTGTCGATATGTAGGGGGGTTTTCTGAATGATGTCTTTGGCAGTTTGGTAGGAAGCCATTTTGGTAATCTGGGTGTCAGTTTTTGTAACTGATGCAGTTCTGGAATCAGTGTTGGGGAGGAGAAGGTGTGGAGGGAGGTTGTTAGGTTTACTGATGCTGATCAGGCTACATAGGGCAACTTGCTTTAAACATTGGGCAATTAATAAAGTGTTTGTTATGTTGTTTTGAGTGTATCATATAAGGAATTAAAATTTCAACAGTAATTGTTTTACTTGACGGATTACATATGCATGATTTGGGAATTAACAAAAATAGGATATAATAGATTAGTGTGTCGTGGTTGCTTGTACAGGGGAGGTTGCACGGAGAAATCCATTGGAGCCAAAATTTTCGTATTGTATTTGGCGGCACATATGGATACAATCGGCTTTGACTTGACTACAGTTTAGATAGAGAACGCTACACTGTACTCGTTTTTGGACTGGTGCAAAGAAACTGGAGGCAACCAGAGGGATGACTCCACTGTGAAATATCAAGGGCGAGAAAAAAATCCTTTATACTGGCGTGGGTATGGTCTTCAAAAGGTGAGTCTTTACTTAATTCATGCAGTCACTCTGGTTTAGTTTAAGTCTGTTTGATTAATAGAAGATAACGAGGTTCGTTGACTATTCAAAATCTTGAAATAAAAAACAAAATAATCTGTTGGTAGCTTATACGGCTTACTTTCATCCGTCATCCACTATAGCCTTGGTTAATTAAACTACAACCACTTGTGATTTGATAAAATACCATTTATTGATCAGGGGTCATCGTTGACCTCACAAGAAAGCGAAATACAATTCTTTATTGTTCGTGGTGATCAAAAATTAGTATTTTAGGACAACACAATCCACTCAGCATTTATGAGCTTATACACAGATGTGTGAGTCATTTATTTTAAAACCATGGGTACTGGGCAGATTTTAGGAAGGGTGCAAAGTGCAGCTATCCCTAGGGGTGGCATTTTAGGGTTGGCCCAAAAGTTGGTTCTCGCACATTTTTCCTTTTGTGGACG